GCATTCCTGAATTGCCTAGGGGGAAATCAGTTTGTTTGGGCCATAAAGGGAATTGGAGGCAATTGGAGCAATTTAGGATTCTAAACTGGCTGCACATAATTCTGGAAGTGAATAATCTGTGTGTATCTATAGATGGCTTTTTTTTTTTTTAAGGAAACAATTTCCTGCAAGAGAAATGAGAACAGTTGGCATTGTTCTAATTACAGTTTCAGTTTTTCCCAGAATGCAGGAATCTTCACATTCTTTTCAAAACAGCATGAAGGAAGTTGGAAGCTTCCTTTTAAAGAAAATACCATCTCATTTCAATGTTTAAAAATACCCCCTGTGCATAGGACCAATTGCTGCCCTACTTACAGCTTGGGTTTTAAAGATGTTGGCTGTAAACGTTTTCATTAAATAATAGGAGGGGGGGAAACCATAATTTAAGAGTGCAATTGCCCGGAAGAAATTTTTATCTCACTAGTAACTTCTTTGGCTGGATCTAAAGTCTATAGAAGCCTTGCTTTTGGAAAACAAAACAAGCTTCGCAACCTTAGCAACTACTTGTAACTGTTTTTAGAGTCAGTTGTGGACAATGCCAAGTGCTGGTGAGGAGGGGGTGTTAGTTCCCTCACATGTTGCCATCATAATCATGCACTGACCATGCAGTACAGCAGCCCCACTTGTAGGTATTTACCCAAGGAAATAGAAGGACATCCTTTATAATAAGAGAGGAATATGCTAATTATCCATTACGCCGTGAAGCATAATGACCGACTGCATAACGACTGGATCACATATCTGCAGGAGGGTGGGGCAGTGAAGCAAATATGAACTAAAGATAGCCAAATCTATAATAATAAAAGCATAATATGCTAATTAGACTAGATAGCCGAATGACCTTCTGGACGAAGCTGTGGCAGCAGGGGCCGAGGCAGAGGAAGTTAGGGGCAATCAGGCAAGCAGGCAGAGTGATTAGGGGAGATCAGACAGGCAGAGCAGTTAGGAGTGACCAGGCAAGCAGGCAGTTAGGGATTAGGGGCAATCAGGCACACAAGCGAGTGGTTAGAGGAGATCAAGTAGGCAGGCAGAGGCAGTTGGGGGTGATCAGGCAGGCAGGCAGGCAGGCAGGCGAGCTGTTAGGGGCAATGAGGGAGGAAGGCAGAATGTTTAGGAGCCAGTAGCCCCGGATTGTGAGAGGGATGTCTAACTGCCAGTTTAGGCCTAATCCTGCAGGGATCCCTGTGGAATAAAACCTAAACCAGCAACCAGACATCCCCCAACTGGTCCCAGATTGCAAGAGGGTACAGGCTGGGCTGAGGGGACCCCTTCCCTCCCCCCTAGTAAACATTTAAAAAGATGCCCAGGGCTTTGCAGATGCTGCTTCCCCAGAGCCACCGATGAGCCACCCATGTCCAGCCATGGTGAACCCCACCATGTTCTTCGTTCGGCATTGCCATCAATGGTGAGCCCTTGGGCCATGTCTTCTTCTAGCTCTTTGCATACAAAGTTTGAAACACAGCAGAAAACTTTCATGTCTGAGCACTGGAGGAAAAGGATTTGGTTAAAAGGTTCCTGCTTTTACAAAATTATTGTGGGATTTATGTGCCAGGGTGATGACTCCAGCAAGGCCATCTATGGGGAGAAATTTGAGGATGAGAACTTCATCCTGAAGCACAAACAGTTCCCAGTTTTTCACCTCACTGCTAAGGCTGAGTGGTTGGCTGGCAAGCATGTGGTCTTTGGGCAGGTGAAAGAAAGCATGGATATTGTGACAGCCATAGAGCACTGGGGTCCAGGAATGGCAAGACCAGCAAGAAGATCACCTTTGCTGACTGTGGACAAATCTAATAAATTTGACCTGTGTTTTATCTTAACTACCAAACCATTTCTCTCTAACTCAGGAGAGCATCCCATCGTTTGGAATGTTCTATAATCTTTGTGTTCTTGCCTCAGTTCATTGGGTCCCCTATTTTCAATACTAGCTGTATTGAAGAGTTAAGTTTATGATTATGAAATAAAAATTCAACAACAAAAGAGGATGCTCAGTCATGCACTGAAACTAAAGTGAGATACTATACATCTGTTAGAATGGCTAAAATTAAACAATTTACAATACCAAATGCTGACAAGGAAGTGGAATGACTGGAATTTTTATTCACTGCTGATAGGAATGCAAAATGCTACAGTCACTTTGAAAAGCAATTTTGAAGTGTCTCTTAGAATTAAATATTTACCATATGACCCCACAACTCACTCTTAAGAGAAATGAAAACACATGCCACACCAGTTTTAATAGCAGCTTTATTTATAATTACCCAGAGCACTCCACAGCTTCCCAAAGAAGATGGCCACGGGTAGCCATGCACCCTCAGAGACTGTCAAGGAGCAAATGTTCCAAAATGTTGCCTCTTCCACCAAAGACAGAACTTTTGCTGAAGCCCACCCTTTTGCTCAGCACCTAACACTATGGTTTGTCTGTTGAATCAGCATAAAGGGTAAAAGGAAATCCTTTATTGATGTAGCAGGTTCCTCCACCCAAAATATCTCATTGATTTTCTCAATTTTGCAAATACAGTTGCTTTTATGCAGCACTACTGTAGACCCAGTTCCCCAACCATGTACTTGGCTTTGGAAGGAATTTCAATACAATTTCCGAATCTGCCGCTATACCGCTGTACCTGATTTTCGATACTTTGCCTAGACCTATTTTCTACAATGTCTCCAAGTTCCATCTTATTCTAACCACTTGTTTGCATGTAACTAACATTATTCTATAGCATGTTGATTTTTTCTCTTTAATGCTCAGGAGCCCAGGTCTAGGGGACAGTTAGGTTCAGGGCCTCAGGTCTGGTAGGGTTAACATGAATGTGGTGTCTCTCGGTTGTAGGAATGTGCCGTACTCTGCACCGCCAAGGAAGGAATCACTTATTAATGTTCCTCCCCTGCTCCCAGGTGCACCCTCTTCCCTGCACCAGTTTATTCTGAGCAATGCACCTGTGGTAGACAGATGGCAAAAAGGGCCCCATTCTTCCCCTCCTGTATGCATCCCTCTCACAATGTCACTGGGCAACTCTTCCCATCAAGAGGTGGGGCTGCTTCCCACCCCTTGAATCTGGGCTGCCCTTGTGTTTTACTTTGGTCCACAGAATGTGGCAGAGCAAGGCCTAGGCCTCAAAAGCTCTGACACGCTTCTGCTTGCTCTCTTGGAACCCTGCCGCCACCCTCAGCTCAAGGCCAGGTTAGCCCACTGGGAAGATGAGGGTCCACGTGGAGAGGGCTCAGCCTGGCCCAGCCAATGCCCAGGCAGCCTGCAGACTGCACCTGGGAGCAAGCCCAGCTGGGCAGGGCCAGGCCTGAAGAACCAACCATGCTGAGCCAATCCAACTTGTGAACTCAATAAACAGTAGTGTTTTAAGCCACTAAGTTTTGGGTGGTTTGTTTCATAGCAAGAGCCTCACCACAGGAAGGTTCCAGTACAGCACATTCAAATTGCTCTTTGTGTGTATAAGTAGAGAGAAAATTTGATTTTTTTTCCTTTTTCTGGTATTTGTGTTAAATATGGGTATGAACTGTTAAGACTCCATTTCCCTTTCAACTCCATGTTTTACAAACATTTCTTATGAGAGCAGCAGCAGATAGGTCATCACAGCAAGCAAGTCATGCTCTGTCCCAACTCAGTTATCACGGGTTCCACCAATAAGACACAACGTAACCAACAATGAACACCAGAGCTTACCACAGAGGTCAGGAATAAGACAGACTGTTATTTAACAAAAGGCCCCGTTTAAGCAAACCACAAAACAACTCTCCTATGGTCAAATATTACATTTAATAATCTCTTTATCCCATTCCCCCAAACAAGTTTTCATTATTTTCTTCATTTCATTCTTTTTACATTTGTCAAGTACATCTCTATAATACACAGATGCAGACTTAACAATTGCTATACATTTCCTATCATGAATTGTCCTTGGGTCAATCCAGAATTAGTAGGGGCCATTGTGGGAAAGAATGCGAATACTACCTTCCTCTGAAAGTAGATTCTTAATTGTTTAGCACCTTTTTTTGTTTGTTTGTTTGTTTGTAAGGAGCTCATCCTTTTGTTATCTCTGGATAAGGAGAGAGTCAAAAATTGTCATTAGTGCCTTTTCCGAGGAAGAAAAATGAAAGCACAGAAAGGTAAAGTAATATCAGTGGGACGATGACAGTCACAGCGGAAACTCGGGTTTTCAGCTCAGCATTCTACTTTGTGAACTATACTTTGTTTAATATATTCCATCTCAAAGGGGATAATGGTTTCTCCCATTTTTATCACATCTCTTTGGATGAATGTTAACTAAAAGGGCAGAACAGACAGTAAATTCCCACCAACTGATCATCCTGGAAGTTTCTTCTTGCATTTTTTCCCATCTGTTGAGGAATGCCATAAATTATACAGCCCCCCTCCACTTCTCCATTAAAAATCATAATTGGCTGAAACCGGTTTGGCTCAGTGGATAGAGTGTCGGCCTGCGGGCTGAAAGGTCCCAGGTTTGATTCCAGTAAAGAGCATGTACCTTGGTTACAGGCACATCCCCAGTAGGGGATGCATGTTTCTCTCTCATCGATGTTTCTAACTCTCTATCCCTCTCTCTTCCTCTCTGTAAAAAAATCAATAAAATATATTTTTTAAAAAATCATAATTGACTGCTACCACTGTGGCACTTCCAAGAGAACTACAACCAGTAGGGAGAAACCCATGACTAGTGGTCATTCCCTGTAGCCAGGCCATTAGAGGGTGGACAGTGGCCACGGTAAGCACTCTGAAAACCTACCAGGCCTGCAACAGTAATTTTAGGTATTTTAACTTTTCTCTAGTATTTGAGAACAAATACTCATCGACCACAGCAGATGGAATAACCCAGGTAACTCCCTGCAGTCTGACTCACACTGTCTGTTTCCTAGCAAGAGGACTGATGCTAAGAGAATACTGCCTGTGTGATACAGTTTCTTCAGTCCACCACAGGAGGACTTGGTTCTTAATTCAAATGCACTGGAAAATAGCAGGAGAGTTTTCCACTTCTGTGCGGCTAACTTCTACTTAGGAAGAAAATAAGGCCTGTTGCCTATAGCATTTATGCCACTCTGGTTTAGAGAAAGAAAATGCATATTAACTTTTCAACTGTATGCTTTCTTTCTTGAACTTCCCTAGCACCTTCTTTTCACTCTGTGCAGGCTATCCCTGAGCCCCATTCACTCCACATCGTTTCCCGGAGAGGCATCAAGAATGAGGAAGTAAAGCTGCAGCAGCCGGCATTTTTAGGGGTTTATTTATAGCAGTACCTGGCTGCCTCTGTTGGAAGGGGTGAATAAATTCCCCACAGGGATGATTTGGGGAGGAGGATGCACACTTCATCTCAGTTCTGCCTAACCATGGACAAAACAAAAACATTCAGAGAGAGAAAAGGGGTTTCCCCTTTTCCGTCTTTTAGAAAAATGGGAATTCAGCAATATTTTCAAAAACACAAAGTCCCTCCACTTGTTCCCTGAGCCTCCTTCCAGGCTTCACATTTCTAACCTTTTCCCCAAAAGTGCTTAGTACAGACCCCAACACTCCCTCACCCCCACCCCTCGCACCAGGCATTACCGAAACACAGCTTCCTACTCTTATGAGAAGGGGCACAACAGAGAACACATAAACACCATCACCCTTGGGAAAATTCAAGAAAAATCCTTAAATAGTAAAAAAGTGGGGGTGGAGGAGGAGAAAAATGTTATGAGATTAAGTGAAATGCAAACACAGGAGAGGAAAAGCACAGACCCAAATACAACAGGACCGCCATAAAAACATGTCACAAAGAGAGGGACTACTGAGGAAATAACCTCAGGGTATTGGGAGGGAGGAAAAACCATAAAAGGAAGTAAAAGTGGAGCCACCAAACTAGAGCAACGTGTACCTGAGTCATCAGCTGGTATGTGACTGCACGCCAGTGAGGGGTGAAACCCTGTTTGCGTTTTTTTAAAAGCCCCGATTCAACGAATAGCACGGTGGGTGGAGAATGTCAGGTAACTGGACGCAGTTGTACCGCTTGGAGCCACGTGCAGGCAGATCCCCGGCCGCACCCCGCCCCGCCCGGCCAGGTGCAGGTGCTCGGGGCCCACGCGGCCCGCAGCCCCCATGGGTACGAGGTCCCTGTGGTGCTGCAGGCCGGAGGGTGGGCTGCGGAGGGTGGGCTGATGGCCGGGAAGTCGCGGCTGATCCGGCGGCATCCCCGATCCGCGGAGTGCCGAGAGCCACCGCGGGTGCCGGGCGCTCAGCGCTGCGCCCAGGGCGCGCGGGGCTGGGCTTCGCCCTGCTCCTGCACCGGCCGCGAGGCCTTGTCCGGCTCCGGCTCCGGCTCCGGGCCGCTGCACGGGTCCGGGAAGCGTGGCCCGAGGCCCGCGAACGAGTCGCAGCACGGCGGGCTCTCCTCCTGCACCGGGTGGCCCACCGGCTCCCCAGCGCCGCCGCCTGGCCCCGCCGGGCCCTCCTGGGAGTTCTGGCTGACGTAGACCACGATGATGTCGCCCTTGAAATTCATCACCTGCCCGCTGGAAATAAACGTGGAGTTACTGTTTCCAGTCACATTTCCTGCAGGGGAGAGGAAGAAAGAACACGCAGAAGGTGAGTCGTCCGTTCGCGGTGGGAACCGGGTCTTGTGAGAGGGAAGTTTTCCAATGAATGGATGGGGCGAGGGTGGCCGCTCCTCACCCACAGGTCTCCTACACGCAGCGGGCACACCCAGGAGTTCCTTCATCCGTCCTCTCACCAGGCCTGGCAGGCCCAGGAAGAAGGGAGAGAGGCAGAAGACAGGGGAACAAGAAAGAAAAGAGGGGTGAAGACCAGGGGAGATGAGCCTGGCAGTGGGCCCCACTCACATGTTGTCATTTGACACATGGACTATGGAGTACTAGCAGGAGTGCACCGGGACTGGAGATTCACAGACAAGATTCAGATGCCACAAATGGATTCCTGTGCCCATTTGTGATCCCATTTGTGCAGCAAACAGCCGATGGACCAGCTATGGTCCCATGTGTCGGGAAGGGCAGTGAAGGATGGAGGGAAGGTTGTCTCCTGTGAGGCTCCTGGAGCCCACCTCCGCCCGGCCTGCTCTCTGACCACGCTCACTCTGAGGCCGGTCACCCTGGATGCCTGTACACCTCCCACCTTCCCTGGAGGTCCCTAATGGCTCGGCCCTATGGGGTCCCTTGGCTTCATATTTAACAGAGGTTAATCAATTTCCTTGACTTTGTTTTACCCCGCCCCCTCCCATGGGGGAGAGGATTCAGAAGACTAAAATGGGGGCGGAGGGGAGGAAAATGAATCCTATAAATCACTCTTTCCTTCTGAATGTTGAGGAGTGTGCTCTGTCCCGAGGGGGTTCTGTTATCACTTCTTCGTGGGTGAGCAGATTTAGCCAGTTTTTAATTAATGGGCCTTTTGAAAAACAAATAGGAGGTTCAACAAATGCTAGAAAACCTGCTGCCTCTTCTTCATCTTCTATTTTAAAGAATGATCCTCTGAACTGAAAGTAAATGCCACAAACGAAGCAGACACAGAACTGCCCCCAACGCTCAGCATCACAAGCAGGACTGATGTCTGCGCAGGGGAGGGGAGCTGCCTCCTCTTCTTTCTTCTCTATCGTGACAAAGCCTAATAATAATTCACAGAAATAAAATCGGCTTTGTCACCACCCCATGTGAAAAGATCCTCTCCAAAAGGGGAAGGCATGTTTTGGATGGTCTAGTGAATACCAATGGCACGCAGGCTATTCCTGTGGGGAGCCTTCCCTTCACCCACAGCCATGGTTGGCAAACTGCTGCTCGAGAGCTACATGTGGCTCTTTGGCCCTTTGAGTGTGGCTCTTCCACAAACTACCATGGTCTGGGCCAGTCTATTTTGAAGAAATGGCATTAGAAGTTTAAGTTTAAAAAATTTGGCTCTCAAAAAAAATTTCAATCGTTGTACTGTTGATATTTGGCTCTGTTGACTAATGAGTTTGCCGACCACTGACCCATCAGGGTACCTACAGAGAAGCCAGGACTGAGGCACAGTGGCCCATGAAAATGCAGGGATTTCAAATGTGAGCAACAGCCGAAACCGGTTTGGCTTAATGGATAGAGCATCGGTCTGTGGACTGAAAGGTCCCAGGTTCGATTCCGGTCAAAGGCATGTACATTGGTTGCAGGCACATCCCCGGTAAGGGGTGTGCAGGAGGCAGCTGATCAATGTTTCTCTCTCATTGATGTTTCTAACTATCTCTCTCTCTTCCTCTCTGTAAAAACTCAATAAAAATATATTTTAAAAAAATGTGAGCAACAAACCAAAAGTGACTCATGCTATTTCTCCCTTAGACAGTCGTATGGGGTATACTCCAAGATGGGTAGTGAGGGTGGGGTGATACTTGCTTAATAATCCCCCAGGCAACATGGAGGAGGACAGTTAGTATTTCCATTCACCAATTAGTTAGACTGACCCACATTCTCTGTTCCCTCTGAAACATACTGACAGGTGCTCCTAACATACAGTGAACTCTAAGCTGGGAGCTTGCCTTCTAGCATGCCTATGTCTTTCTGCTCCCACCAGTTACCAAGTTAATTCTCAAGTATGTCCTTTTTTTTTTTTTAATTGTCCTGAAGCATTTAACCGTTTTCACAGAAATAATTTTCATACTTATCCACCTCGTTTTTGACCAGTTAATGTAGCAGTTAATTCTCTCATTACAAGGGGATCAGTGCACACTCTCGGGACTGAAATGCAGGAAGCATGCCTCTCACCATGTGGGAGCAGAAGGGCCTGGGCATTCCAGAGTGACCTCTTACTTGTGAGTAATCAGTGTGCTGTGGGCTGCAGTCAGCTTTCTTTCCAGAGGGAAAGGAGAGTGTGGACCAAATTATGGGATAAATGGAGCTATGGAGAGCACCTGTTACGGTACCATAGTGATAGAACCACCACCCATCCAGGACTCACTGAGTGCTCCCTGCCAGGCTGGCTGCACTGCAGACACCAGCTCCCAGGTTCTTTGCCAGTGAGCATTCAGGTTTGCTGTCTTTTTCCCTCTTGTGTTTGACATTCTTTTCATGGCTTGTCAAAATGCAGACTCATGTGCACATAATCTAATAACATCATTGTCATCCTGGCATCTCATTCTCTGTAGAGCAGAAGGCGCATAACTGGTAATTAAAGGATGGTGGTTTCAGTGGCTGGCTGAGTACAGGAGGGGGAGGGAACAGAAGAGAGTGCAGGGATCTGAAAGCTCTCTGGTCTTGTCCTGACAAACAACTGTCCAGACCTCAGCTGCTCATTTAGAAAATGAGCATCAGTCTGCAAGCCCTGCTAGCCTGGCAGGTGCAGCCAACTGAGAGGGCATCCAATAACTATTCAATAAATGAATAAGTGAATGTGTGAACACACAGCAGGACAGCATGAGGATCAAACGAGACAATGGATTAGATAATACTTGGAAAACAGCAAAGAATTGGTCGCAGGTGCAAAGACGGTATTACTAGTCACAGAAGGTAGTATTAGTGCTCTTGAACTCTCAAGGAAACAGATTTGGGAAATGCACACAGCAGTAATGCTCTTTCCATCTCTATCTTGTTGGGGGATCTCAGTCCATCTTGAAGGTTGAAAGAGCACTTCTTCCTAGAAGTCTAACTAACATTTTGTTTTCATTGCGGGGAATAATCCATCATTTTGACTGCCTCTGGTTTGAACACTCATTATGTAATTCTACACGAAACCCATAGTCTCGTTTCTTGTCATGCAAGTCAGCTGTGAGATGAATGTAGGACTCCAACAGATCACAGTTTAGAATGAGTTGGTAATATCTTAATCCTGTAATATCCATCAGTCTTGAATTGTCCTTGCTTAAAAGTAGTAATTCCTGCCCTAACCGGTTTGGCTCAGTGAATAGAGCATTGGCCTGTGGACTGAAGGTTCCCAGGTTCCAGTCAAGGGCATGTACCTTGGTTGTGGGCACATAACCAGCAGGGGGTGTGCAAGGAAGCAGCTGATTGATGTTTCTCTCTCATTGATGTTTCTAACTCTCTATCCCTCTCCCTTCCTCTCTGTAAAATAATAAATAATATATATATATATATTTTTTTTTTAAAAAGTAGTAATTCCTTAAAATGTGCTCTTTATCTTTCATAACAGAAATGTTTTGCAGGGTTATGAAAACTGACCCGAGAGGGCAAGACCTTGGATAGTCAATTATAGGTTGCCACGCCAGCAGGCTGCATGACCAGCTGGGTGCTGCAGGGCCTCTGGGTTAGCATGGTTGCCATGGTTTCTGCCACTGATACCTGGCCCCAAAGTGGGTAACTCTTTCCACTGAGCACCAAGAAAGCCCAGGATGTTCTACTGACAAAGGAGACTCTTCCCTCTAACACAGCTATAAGGGGGGTACATGAAAAGGGGATGGTGTGGATGAGGCTTATTAAGATGCCTTAAAGAGGCCTGAGGCATTTAGCCCTTAGAGCACATGTGTCAAACACAAGGCCCACGGGCCAAATCCGCCCAGCCAGGCCTTGCAATGTGGCCCGCACCGCGCTGTCATCACTGCACTCCGCTGCGTTTCCATCACAAGGACAGTTTATGACTGTTCAGTAAACCATTCGGCCCGAGATTTAGGCTGGATTTTAGATTTTGGCCCCTTCTCTGATTGAGTTCGACACCCCTACCTTAGAGCCTCTGGGAAGCCAAGCAGAGTAAGGGCCCCCTGTACCACTTCCTTGTTCTTCTCAGCTGGCCTTCTGGCAGCTTTCCCCTACCAGGAATTTATTTTAAATTTTTTCTCTTGCAGAAAAAGATGGAGTTGGAGGCATGTGAAACAAAGAGCTTTCCTCCCAAAAGAATGGGTGAGAGCAAAGACTAACTTCCTGAGACAACTGGCAGAGGAGAGGGGACTCCCAGGTCCTGGTAGCCATCACCTCCTGCACAGACTGGTGTACTTCCCACTCAACCTTCTGAGCCTGGCCTGGGCACTGCCCCTTGCTCAGCAGAGCAGCCAGCTCTTTTGGGCCTACGTTTGCCCTTATTCTGGGGCACACTGAAGACTCCCCAACACACAGTAAACAAATGAAGTCATATTCCTGGGAGTGATTTAAGGGGAGAGGAGCGTGGCTTCAGGTCCAGGCTCTGCAGGGAGATAAGCAGGATGTCAAGACAGTCTTATGTTGACTGAACAAATTGTATGTGAAGGCTACCAAAGAGTATGATGTGGGAGCCAGAGGACATGAGGGCATTGAGTAAATTGGACACATTGAAGGATTTCTAACATTCGAAATGGGTTTCTTGACTTAACATGAATATTTAATGTGACATTAACCAGAAGAATTTTCAGGTAACTGGAGAAAGGTAAAAATAGCATTTAGTTCAACAGAAACAATGAACAAATAAAGTGGCCCTTCACGATCAGAAAGTGGGGTCCTTGCTTTTATAGGGGCTGTATGGACTCTCTATTTTTCAGGCAGAGAGAAGCAGCTTCATTTTTAGAACTGAATCCCTAACAGAATTTACATTTATAAGCAAGGGAATGCATTTTTCTCTTTTCAAAAGCTTATTATGTCATATAAAAATGCATAATG